TTATTCTTGGATCAGGCTTTAAAGGGTTAAATGTTAATCGCTAACATATTTGAGTCATGAAAAAAGATTAAAAAAATTGATTTCTACATGACTTTTTTTTTCTAAGACAAAAGTTTAACTTATTTTTGTACATGTTTCTTGCAGTTTAAAAAAACTAAACAAATGAGCGAATACATTTTAAAATATGGACCAAGCCACAGGGCTGAGTATTCACTAATACAGTGTTTTCCAACCCCTGGTCCTCGGTACACTAGTGTGCCGTTAGTGATGGTCAGGTGTAGAAAATCATCCTATTTCACCTCATTGGTCTAAAAAGAGTTTTTGATAAGGAATTAATTATCTGTAAATAATATTCCATTTCTGAGTGTGTGTGCTGTTCTAGTGACTGGTGGAGTAATCATGTAATAATTCCTTATGACTAGATTTTGTATTTAATTTTGTATATTGAAGTGGACATGTTAAGTGCAATTTGAAAGAAGAAATATAAAATATGATAAAAATACATTTTTGTGTTTATTTGATTCCTATTCAAGACACTTAAGATAAGATTAGAATAAAATAAGAATAACTATAGTGTTACTATAGGCGGATACAGATTTGTTTGACATTTTTGGTTGGTGGTGTGCCTCTGGCTTTTTTTCAATGAAAAACTGTACCTTGGCTCAAAAAAGGTTGAAAAACACTGCACTAATATGACCGTGTCCCTCAGGAGCCTTTATGATCCCGTTCCTGATCCTGCTGGTCCTGGAGGGGATCCCGCTGCTGCACCTGGAGTTTGCCATCGGCCAGCGCCTAAGGAGGGGCAGCGCCGGGGTCTGGAGGTCCATCAGCCCCTACCTCACCGGCGTGGGTCAGTACTTTATTTATTTATTTATTTAATCAGGACAGTGCACATTAATGAACAATCTCATACAGATTGTAAATGAGCCAGATTCTAGCATAGTTGCTAGACAGGAAGACCAAACAACACAAAATCACAAAATACAAAATCAGTTAAAACAGAGAGACAGACGTTCAGACAATGACATTACAAAATTAAAATTAATTCAATTCAATTCAATTTTATTTATATAGCTCAACATCACAACAACAGTTGTCTCACAGCTTTCCAAACAGAGCAGGTCAGACCTACTCTGAAGTTAATTACAGAAACCCAAC